CGATCGATTTCGCCCGATTCGAGTTTGCCCCCTGACATCCCGACCAGGACACCTTTCGTGCTGCTCCCGTCATGTCTGTTTTGGTTGCTGGCGTCGGTCCAACAGTAAAGTTGAGGGTTCTCATGTTCTTCAAAAGGAAAGATCTTCATGGGCTCATGAGACACGTTTCGAATTTTTCGCAACAACATGTTCACTTCAATCAAAGTTTCCACCGTACTAGAGTTCACCTCTGACAAGTAGAGGCTGGTGTACGAAGAAAAACGGAAACCGACTTGACTCGTGTGCCACGCCAGAGCCCCCAGGAGCCCCCTCAGTTCTGTTTTCTCGGCATCTGTCGTCGACTCCTTTGGAGTCTCGCGTCTGTTCTTGGGGATGTTTATCTCCTGGATGTCCTGTACATATTTTTCTTGATCTAGCCAAAAACTGTGGTCCTTTTGAGCGCGAACTCTGACTCCGCATTGGACGAAGTCGTTCACTTCCCATTCTCCCCAGTTGAAGCGTTCACGTATGGATCTTTCTGCTGCCTCCCATTGCTTGTTCTGCGGGAGGCCACTGAAAAGAAAGTCGTCAACGTGTCCCAAAACCAACCCCACCGTCTGGCCGGTGGTAGGGTCTCGGAGTCGCCAACAGCAAGGGTCTGATTTCAACTGTTCCAGGCCCTGGGACTGTAAGAAGGTGTTCATGGTCTCAAACCATTCTATTCGTGCCTCCACCAATCCATAGCATGCCTTCCTCATTTTCACCACACTCTCTGGAGCTATGTTCATAGCTGTGCAGATTTCAGGTGTGGGAATCAGGTAAAGGTCTCTGGCGAATTCCCTGCCCTGAAGGAATGCCGCAGCTACATCACCTTTCTTTACCTCTGCTTGATGGTTGGCTGCCCATTGTAACAGCACTTGACGAGTTTGTCGTGTCATCGTTGGTGCAAAGGTCGGCCTATTGGCATAGTCAGGGTCCTGGTAGCCCAGGACTACTGCCCTGGCTTTTGGTTTCACTGACCCGTCCTCCTTCTTCTTCCAAACCAAAATCCACCTCATTCTCAATGCTTGTTCTTTATTGGGTCGTAGATGGGGTGGAAGTGCCTGGAGAGCCTCGGAGGCGATGAACTTGTCCACTTCCACTTGTTTGGCTCCCTGAAATTGTTCATGTTCTTCTTGACTCAACCGACGTTCGGAAACCTCGATGCTCTTTCGTTTCAAGGCACTGATGAAAAAGGACTGACTATTTTTGAACAGCTTTTTCCAACCTCTATCATGTCGTGGGAGCTCGATGTCGATCTCCACACAGGATTGTGAGTGCTGCCAAAAACTGCTTTCCGTGCGTGCCCAGAACGAACTATGCACCTCCTCTTGCCAACTGCTGGACTGTGGCATGGACCCTCTAGGACTCCGACTTCGTGACCGAGGGCTTGGTTCCCGTGGTTCCGGAGGTAGACTGGGAGAATAGTCCTGAGTATCTGGGATTTCAGGCCGGTTCCCCTGGGCTCGTCCTCGGAAATCTTGTCTAGCCGGAGGTTGTTTGGATTCATAACGACGTCGGCCGGTAGGATGATCTCCCTCTTCTGGTTCAATGGCCGCTCTTTTGTATGGTTTGGGTCCATCTTCAACATGATCATGGTACACACCTCTTTTCACGTCACCCAGGAGTTCGGTAAAGGTCCTTGGGAGTTGTGGTGGTCTAGTGAGTTCATGGAGGTTTTGTTCACGTGCTGATGCATGTCGAATCTGCTCGATGGCCACCTTGACGATCCGGTTGCCCTTCACCAACCAGGCCACACTGGAAGGGCTCAAGCGCCCGTCCTCATCGTTCCTGGTTTCCAGAGCGAGCACTCGTGCGGGGCCAACATATCGGCCACGGTTCCAGGATTGTTTTTCGTTTCCCAGAATTTGAGTGCGCCAATAGAAAACAAGGTCTCCTGGACAAAGATCTTTGAATGAATGGTGTCGTGAGTTGCGAGCACGGCCTAATTTGTCTTTCAGCTGCCAATCCAAAAACTGTTTGGCTGCTAGTGTTCTCAGGTGTGCAGCTTGTTCCATCTCACCGTCGGGGTGCTGGATCATCTCCATGGGGACATCATGAAGCATGTTTTCAAAGAACCTTCCTTCCGAGTCAGGGTGTCGTCCCAAAGCATGTTGGAATGGGCTGTATCCTCGTACATTCTCATGTTGGTTCCAAATGTATGTGGCATGTGACAACAGATTGGAAACATCCATGTCAGTGTCTTGAGCTAATTTCGAGAGGAGTTCTTTCACCCATTGAATGCTACGTTCAACATTTGACAGGTTCCAATGAGCTTTGGCTGGAATGATGTCCAACATGGTGCCCTGACCAGTGAAGTAGTCCTGGATGACCTGTGAACGCCAGGCACCTTCAGGATCACTCCTCACCACGTCTGGCACTCCGAAATAGGGCTTCCATTTTTGTTCAAAGATCTCAATGTACTCTTGGGGGGAAATGCCACGTTTGTGTCCCGGAATCAAGGCGGTCACCATGAAGCGGCTGGCTTCATCCAACAACACTACAAATTGTGATTGCTTGTTGTCTCGGGGATTCCTCCAAAAGGCTGCGTCCACCTGGATGCTCTTCCAACGGTCAGTGAACACTTTCAAGTTGGCTCTTGACCTGGGATCAGGTCGTTTACGCTCTTCACAGGCGCTGCATCTGAAAGTTCGTGCCAGGGCCAGGACTTCTGGTCTGGCTTGCTGCCTCTTGAGCGCTTGAACCAACAAGTGATAACTGCCGTGTCCGGTTGAGCTATGAACCAGTGAGAGCTGCCGAAGGATTTTATCCCTTTCTTGGGGGTCGAGCTGGGCGATCCGGTGTTCGTCCGACATGGCCTCCATGCTTCCCCCCTGCTCCGCCGCAAATATATTACCATGTTGATCACACATGCAATCAAAACATGACAATTCCTTGTTCCACCTTTGAACCTGTTTGCATTCACACCCCTGTTCACACCGAGGGTTGTCCTGGACCTGGGGATTTTCCTGAACCAACCTATAGACCTCTTGAACATCCACCAATCGTGACATGTGAAACACCGCACGACGAGCGAATTCCGGCGTATAGTACGCCGAAGCACGGGTCAAACTTCCTTCACAGGTGGCATGGGGGAGTTCATGAGGTTGGCACTTACAAACACAATGCAGTTTCTCCCCCAATTCCCTATGGGTCACCTCCATACGCCATTCTTTGCCGAGTTTCCTACCCGTCTTCGAGTCTTTGAGGTTCACCTGACACCCAGAAACAATCGCCGTTCGCGTATTATGTTTGTGTCTCCACCTTTCTTTCGATTGGTTCCCATTTCCACGCCCTGCACCGACGGACCCACTCCCAAACCACAACACAACCGAGACGAACGGCGGCTTCAGCGGCGACGAGCGCACCCGCGTGTTGTTTCCTGGCTTCATCCTGTTTGCGTTTCAAATCTTCTCTTTGTTGGGGAGTGCGTTGGTTAAGATTCTGCATCGGGCTGAAGGGTCCACATTCGGTGGCGATCCACAAAAATTTTGGGCGTTTTCCTTCGATCGTCTTCACGGCTCTTCGAACCCCTTCCCCCGTCGTGAGATCGCAGCCGTTCCACCACGAGAGTCGCTCGGCGGTGAGGCCTTGTTTTTCGGCTTCCTGCGACAGTACCAAGTGTTCAGAGCAGGCCAGCTCTAAAAGGAAAAGTTCGTGGTCCCGTTTCGTGAGAGCTGTCCATGCCTCTGGGATGATCCTATCTCCCTGTTGTCGCAAGTATTCATCCTTGCGTCCGGGGAGGTGAGACGTAGTCTCTACAGGTCTTCCCCCATCTTCTCCACCTTCTCGAAGCCCGCTGAGCTCGTGGTGCTGCGAGCCTTGCGAGGTTTGTCCTTCTCCTGGAGTTCGGCGACGTTCTGCTGGAGCACCCCCACCACAGATGCCAACTCCTTCATGGTCTGGATCATCGTGGTGACTTCGCCGGAGCTCGCTGCCTGTGTGGTCTCGGGCTCTTGTTTCACCTCGGGGTGCTTGGCTGCCGAACCCGGCGGTGAAGCTGCCGTGGTCTGGTAGCCTCCCTGGGTCTTCTTCATCGGAGAAGCGAACTCGTCGAGGTCGGGGCGCTGCACCTGTATGATCGTGGTGGCACTCTCGTCCCGATCCATTCTCTCGGCCCAGTGGACTAGCTGTCGTAGCTGCCAATGAGAATTCGCTCCCTTCTCGGTGGTCGCCGTATCATTAAAAAAGAGGTAGGCTGGATCTGACAAGGCGATCTCCTGGAAGGTCATGCCATTGACTCGACCTCCCAACTTGTACACCGTCTGTCCGGTGCCGCTCTGAACCAGCCATTGTTTCAGGCACAGGCGTAGTTCCCCCACCCGAGCCTTCTCTGGAATCTTCATGCCGCGAGCGATGCACATGGCTTTGAGGTCGGTGAGATTGGCATTGTTCACCGTCTTGATCATGTCCTCCTCCTCTGAGCTCTTGTCTTTGACTAGCCCTGCACGAACACGGTTCTCCCGCACCAGCACACGGACCTCTTGGAGTGTGTAGTCTTTCGGATTGGTGACCACACAATCGAATGTCTCGAGCTCGGCCAGACATTCCCCTTTGGTCATGTGGTAGTGACGCTTCATCATGCCGCCCTCCCATTTTGTGACTTGTCCCATCGCCTTGGCCATCATGAGATGATTGAGCTGTGGCACTATAGGACTTGCGAAAAACTCGAGGTCTGACACTCGCGGATGGGCGACATGTGACTCATGTTCATGCGCTTCGACATCGATCGTCGTTTCGAACGGCCCCTCCGGTCCCGACACGAGCGACCCGCCCGACGCACGATCGACAACTAACGAGTTCCCGACCCGGTCCGGGGTGTTCGGAGGATGGTCATTGTCCTGGTGTTGGGAATCAACAATGGTAGGGTCTCCCGGGGGTCCACCGTTCTGGTTTGAATCCCTTCCCCTTGACACTTCAGCGCCTGGCTCCTTCTTTCCCTCACACCCAGGGTCAGGCATGCCTGGGCTGAGTCTGGTTTCCTATTCTTTGCGAAAAAGCTGTGACAGACTCTCTGCTGTCACAGGAAGGGTTTTACCTTCCTCCATGAAATCGGTGGTCAAGGGCATCAGCTGATGTCCTGCTGCTGACTGGCGCAGTGGGACCAGCTTGGTCGGGTTGACCTTTGTAAAAATTGCTTCATTGTGCTGAAAATCTATGATGGCTCCCATTCGTCGGAGCGTGTCAACTGAGACCAGCACTGGGGCTTTGCCCTTGTCCAGGGCGTGAACTTTCAGGCTCATGTTCTGGTCCTTCGTGGGGATCTTGATGTAGCATGTTGAGACGCAGCGATTGTGCTCGCTGTTGCCGAACCCGAACAATGGCCTGTCCGAGGTGTCCACGTGCACGATGGCGCTGTTGTGCTGCTTGTTCATGACTTTTTCTTCCAAGCACTCGAGGGCATGGATTGATGCCATGGTCTTGGTGGCTCCTCCATCCAACACCCCATAGCCTTCTTTGACAGCTTCTTCGGTACTGGGAGGGACCCAGTCTGAGCTTGCCCCCCCCCAGATCGCACCAAAGCTGGCCGTACACGAACTCGGAGTGTTCTTCTGCCTCGTAGGACTTGGACTCCGTCTCTCGGGTGTCTGACTTCTGGGGACAGGAGCGAGTGTCGTGGGCCTTTCCGCAACGAGCGCAGGGCCCTCCTCCTTTGTTCTTGCCGTCGCCCTTGCCGAGGCCATGCCTTTCTCCCATGCGGAAGTTGGGCTTCCTCCGACTATCGAAGAACTTGCGCCCCATCCGCACATCATGTTGCTTGGCCCGGGCCTCTCGCAGAGTCTGTCGCCCCTGCTGGATCTGCATCCATGCGGCCTCTTCATCGGCTCGGGCTTGTTGGTAGAAGGCTTGTGTCTCTTCGGGCAGGTCTTCCAGTACGAAGTTGTCGGCTTCCCCAGGAGGCTCATCCTCGAGACCATCATCTTCGGCCTCAAAGAGGTCATGTCGGGTCTCGCCCCCATCTCTCTTCCGGATCTGGTCATCAGTGAAGTGGCTCCTCAGGGCGTTCTCGACTGACTGGAGGGAGAAGTTGTTGCGAACTTCACTTTGGATCAGGCTTCTTTCCATGTGGTCGATGTTAGACTTCTCTAGCAGCAGCCATCCTTTGATCACATCTGGCAAGATCTCGATGAAGTCTTCTTCGTCATCTTCTTCATCGGCCGTGGCTGCTGTGCTGTCGTCTTCATTTCGTGGTGGCTCCCAACTATAGGCGGCGTTCCACGCCTCTGTTTGCCACCAGTTGGCGTACCACCACCACCACCAAGTTTCATCTTCCTCCCAAGTAGGGTCGTCCTCTTCGGCTGGGTTCTCGACGGTCTCTGTGGTAGTGAGTCCGTCTGATTCGGAGGCCGTGTTTGCTGCTCGATCACTGGACCCCCCGGTTCGTGATGACCGAGCAGGCGCACGCTCTGGAATGGGCTCCATTGACCCTTGGGAGTTCCGTCGTCCAGAGTGCCAGGCTTGTGGTCCTTGTTGGCCAAGTTGGCGTTGTTCCTTCATGACTCTTGTCAAGGCTTTGCAGGTGCGAGCGTATTCTTCACGATGCCGCACACAGAAAGCTGCCATGGACTCTCCTCGACGACGTCTGAGGACCTTGAAGTAGGCCCTGAGCTGGTTGGCAATCTCTGGCAACGCTGGCTCTGACATCGCTTCTTTCAAGCATTTCATGAGTTTTTCAACTCCATCTTCTCGAGACAGCCAGCCTCGCTTCTTGTTGCTGATTGCCGCTTTCGCGGCCCCTGAGAGTTCAGCTGCCAGCCGGGGTCCGCAGAGATAGCGGTTCTCCCATTTCACTGTTTCTTCGTACAGGTAGGCGGCCTTCCTGTACTCGGTCCAGGATGCTGGATTGCCATCCCAGGATGGGATGTTGTCCTTGCCTTTGGTCACGGTCATGGCTCAGGGGCTACCCCTACAAAACTCACCCTAAAGGAAATCCGATTCGGATGCCCTGGATCTAAGGCTTCGTTGCTCTTTTGGCTTGGAAACCTCACACCTATCTAACGGAGCTAGATGTGAGGCTCCGCTACCATGCAAGTGCACGGCAGCGGCCTCCGTTTTCCTACACTGGAGTGGGGGGTCCTTGAGCCCGGAGAGAACCGGGACGAGTTCCTACGGTGTTCGTGAACAGAAATTGCAGTATATATATATATGGCATGTCCCTTTGATCATGCAAGATACATCACCAAAGTGGCTCGTGCTTCGATACGTCTCACGTCTCCCCCACGAATCGAGACGGAGGGCAGAGCGAGGGATCTGGTTGCACGCCCACGCCATGCAGATTCTGACGATAAGGCAGGGGTGGCCCAAATCGCAACGTACCTCCTGCACCCGAGCCTTGAATGCACACAGCTAGGTGTCCAAATGTTTGAGATCGAGCCAAGCTGAGATGTTCTTGGCCCATCTTGGGATGACTGCAATGTTTCCATGTTCACATTCTGTGCCAATAACAGAACACTTGCCATGCAAGACCATGTGATGTCGTGTGAGAGTTGCCTCTTACATTTGGGGACTGGAGAAAGCCAAACAAATCTGAGATGATATGCGCAATGCATAGATCATTCAGGATGGGGATGAGATGTTGCTTCAATAGTCTCCTTTACTTTCAATCATTGGTTTATGTTGTCAACATTACAGAAGTGGAGTGTCATTGTAGTGGGCCAGAACCGACCTAACCCCCGAACAAAAAGAAACAAACAAAGATCGCCAATGGATTTTTCTGTGTTCATCCAACTGGATGTGGGGTAACCAAGAGCCACGGACTTCCTCCCCATAGCCATGGATGGTGCCCGAGGTAGTTGTGATGATGCCCTGCTCCATTGATCTGAGCCGCTGGTGGTGGTTTCAAGTGGCACCCGCTGGCAGTGGGGTTTCTTGTAGCTCGGATGGAGTTCCGCAGCCAAGTCCTGGGGTGACTAGGTGAGGCCAGAACCGTGTCTTCATCTTGAAGCACTCTCGGGGAGGGGAACAAACAGGTAGGAGGAGGTTGGTGGGTTGTCGCAATGACTCTTTTGATCCTTGTCGCGCTGTTTGGTGTGCCTCTTTGGCAGTGTTTGAGATCGACCCCAGATATGTGTCTTTCCATGTCTTTCCTGGTTTTCTCCATGGCAATGTCAGGTACTTCCTCACTTCCGGCCAACGTGGCACACTCAGACTACAAGGGCAGCAACGTGCAGAGCTTTTGCGTTTCGGCTTCAACAGCGGAAACAGCCGGTCCTCATGGAGCGTTTGGCACGACACGTTTCGTGAAAGGAGAAGGCAGTGGTAGGCCATCTGAATCTGGGTCAGCAAGAAGAGAAGACTAGCTGACCAGCAGGTGGCTGTGTATGTCAATAGAAAGACCTCCACGGCGCCGTAGGTTTTGGACTATGTTTGTTGTTTCTTCCACATGTTCGATCTGGGAGGTTTTCCTATTTTGACACATCCAGATGACAATCGGCCAGAGACATTGATGGACCAAACCTGACCTTTGAGAGTCCATTTCTGCCTTTGAGGATGGCCGAGGGTGCATGTTGTCCATCCATTCCTGTTTCGTCCGGCTGTTCCAGAGGGGCACGGGCACTTGTTTGATGATCTCATTTGTGCGGGAAGTCACAAGGTGCAATGTATATCCTATATACCAATTGCCTATGCAACCTATATAATATATTGTATATTATATATATTATATATATTTATTTATTGTTTTTCCTCACGGGTTGCCTCGATCAGCAAGGGCTTTGCGGTGCAACGTACTTGTTTTTTTCTTTCCGGCTCTTCACACCAAACCTTTCTGCGAGGTTTCTTTGATTCACTTGTTGGTCTGGAACATCTCCAACACATTTCAACACAGAAGGCTTTCGGATTCAATGATTTCCACGAAGACTGGGCATCTCCAGGATCCACAGCTGTTGCAGAGGGTTCTAGAAATGCTTTTATTCATAATATTATATGGTTTTGTGTTCAATCCAACCACCAGGTGACTCAAACAACGCTTCCAACCACCAAACAGATGACTCCAGATCAAATCCACGGCTCAAATCCACGGCTCAAATCTGGTCCCGTTCCGGTCCCCATCCGTCCATTCCGGTCGCACCTGGCTTCGGTTTCACACCGGTCAGGTCTCAACGTGCCGGATGGCTTCGTGTGTCCCGTGGGATGTGACGCTGGGCGAGTTCCTGTTGGGGAGATCCGATGCGAGGACCGGGCTGACGCGGAGTGGACGGATCCAACGAACGGATCGAAAAATGGAGAGGCAACGAGGTCAGTTTGTAGTCGGTTTCTGGTTCAGCAATTTTTTACGCAGCATTGATGAATCCATAACTACCCGGTTAATTACTTTGATTCAGCAGGCCTTGTGAAGTATTGTATATGCCGATATTTATGCCGATGCTTTGCACTTCGTGTCCTGACATCGGCGCTTTTTGGGGATGCTCCATGTCTCCTGACCACGAGTGGGAAGTCATCATAGGGGCCAGAGTTGGCACATCCCTCGTCAGGATGGCGCATGGACGAGTGGAAGTCAACGGCTGAAATGCAGGCAATTGAAACAGGCACCATCGGACTAGACGCTGGATGGTGCCAAAGCTCGAGCTTTTCTGATGGAGGGGGAGTCGGTTTCTTTCGGTTCTTGGCGCCAGCCAAGAAGAAGCCACGAGATGTAATTAGGGCGGTGGCCTACACTGGGCCTCGTGGCCATGGCTAAACGTTGCTTGGGAATTGGAGCAGGGTGCCTTTCAATGTGCTAAAGACACCTTTTCTCAGCTTGGTGTTTTGCTTGAGATATCTTCTCAATTGTCCAGGTGCTTTCATACCAGCGAGAGGCTAGAACGCAGATCATCAGATTTGTGATTTGATGATGGTCACCTGGTATGTGCTGGTTTGTTCTAGAGGATCGTCATCTTCAGTCCAAGATGTCACCATGTTCAGTCCATGGTTATGTCGTCTTGTATAAGGCCTTTAGGGGACTGCATCTTCGGGTGCGGCAAGCCACTCACGTCGGGGACACCTGTCAGAGGTGACCTTTCACAGGCCATCCATGTCACTCTACTCGAAGCTGATCGGACTATCCAGCCAGGGTCATCCGCTGAAGACGTGATTCTGATTCTGAAGACGTGAGTCCACTGGGTAGCTGTGTTCCTCGCTGTGAGTCCACTGGGCGCCCACCGCGCCAGGTGTGTGTGGCAGCCTTGCACCCAGAACCTTGGCATGAAACTATCAAACGGTTTATAGTATAGATAGGTGAGTATTATAAGTATGTCAGCAAGTCTTAAGTAGTCGGAGTTTCTGCAGATTGTAAATCCCGACCCATCCACAACCCATCTAATTTCAGTTTTGGTAGGAAACTTGACTTACCATGTTTTGGTCCCAGCAAGCATCTCCTTGCCTACCATGCAGTGGTTCGTCTCGCTTCTGATCTTGAGACATTCCAGATGGGTCCTGACTCTGACCGGCAAACCCTGCTTTTTGACGACCCAGTGTTCAAACACTTGCTAAAAATGGTGTGTTCCCAAAGCCGGCTTTCTTGACTCCGATGCCGTCTGCGGGTGCTTCTTATACCCAGTGGATCCACCGTTCCCGCGGCTACCAGACCGACGTGTGCCAGAGCAATGGCCAATGTTCCAGCAGCTGGACCTGAAGGGCTGGGCTTATCCGCGCTGCTCGCGTGGGCTCAGTGTTTGTGCTTTTGAATGCCGAAGTCTTGCAGTCCCGAATCATCATCGAATGGTTCTTTCCGGCACCAGGAGATGGGTTTGAGGAATAATGAAAGGTATAAACAAACACTACAGTCCAGCACCAAATGATTGTAACTGGATGGAAAACACATTGGTCAGGGGTCTACAAACCATCCTTTGGGTGGTGTTGATGAGTTAACATTGTTGAACCAGTCATTACCCTACCAACTGGGGTTGTGGGATGATGCGTATGCCCCAAGTTTATTCGATTGGCGTGCTGTTTTTTTCGTTCCCGCTTACCTTTCTTCGCCAGTGCGTTTCACATGTACAGGCTCATTGCGCCATGATTTGCTACTGCATTATGAAATAATACAAGTATATATATATACGTATAGCTTCATTTTTTGTATAATATATTCGGTCTAGAGGAATAGTGGTTGTGCGGCCACCAAGCTTTTGGCTAGACCCAAATCATTGGTATTTTCAGCGAACAGTGGGCTTTGCCGCATTAGCTGTACCCAGGACATCCCCTTTTCGCCTTTTGGCAGAGTCTGACCAATTGCTTCTTCTGGGTGAGTTTTCCCCTCCGCACCGTGCACCGTTTTCGAGGTCCGAGCAACATTCGAGGCATTATACCCGACGGGTCTCTCGGAGGGGATGGGAGATTCGTCGCTGAAAACAAGTACCGTCGCAGCAAGACACGAGATCCAATGGGATGTGGAGAGGTCAAAAATGATCAAACAGTTTTCTGGGAAGATGTTGATTCAAGTCTTGGACGAAAGGAAGGGGGGGGTCGTAATACGGTCGTAAGTTGAATGAGGTTGCTGTGACGGAGGTGGGTGCTGGTCACTATTTATACTCTAAAGGGGAAGGCCTTTACTGGTTTGCTTCACATATTCAGTGGGCAATCCTACAATCATAATGACTATGAATGGACCACGGGTGCTCATGGTCGCTCCCCGGTGTCACCAGGGCACCGAGCTGTTTCCCCAGCAC